GAAAAGTGAAGAACAAGAAGGAATAGAGATTAATACATTATTTTTTCTTATTTTACCAAGATGTCCTGCTGCCCAAATCCTTGTCGCAGCCGTGCCTATCCCAGGACTTCTTTGCTCTTCTGGGCTAACCAAACAGAGCCGGGTTACACATTAACTCGGCGCAGCAGAGATAAGGCTGCACGAGTGCTGGGCGGGTGGGTGTCAGTAGGTACCACCCATGGGCCAGCCCCTGGTCCCTCACCTGCAGCCTCCAGCACCGCGGTGAGAGAAACTCACCCGGCACCCATGCAAGGTGGGGTTCAACGCTGCTCTGGGCGGGGGTCACAGCAGACGCCGTGTCCCTGTGTTCTGTGCTCCCTTGCAGCCCTGCTGCGAGGCGCAGCTGCAAAGACGGGTGGCAGCACCAGCACCCAGGGTGCAGGCAGCCCCGCTCTGTACCACCCAGCTCACTCACTTCCCGGCGTGGCCGATGTCCTCTGATGTCCCCGGTACGGGTTTCGCCGGCGACTCCTTAATCCCTCAGCCTGTTCTGCTGCATTGCTGCGTGTTGACATGTGGAGGAGCCCGGCACACAGCCCCAGCCCAAGCGCTTCTGTACACAATAATTAAATCCTTTGCTGGGTGGTTGCGCTGTGTGCTGCCGAAGGCATTGCCCCACAACTGGTTTATTCTCTTGGGTGCTTTTGTGCATGAGGTTCCTCAGCTCGGGGTAGGACCTGGTTCCTTATCGGCTCTAAAAGCGCAGATTATTGCTGGAACAGGTAAACACTTGCACATCACCAGAGCTCTCACAGAGTCCAAAAGTTTGCCACCTGCTGCTGTACACTGGAACAAGATTCTTGTATAGACGGGTAAAAAGCCATTTTAGATGGGAAGCTTCACCACTGAGTTTTACTTGTGTGCTAGAGGATGTGATGTCCAGGTCCTGTGCAGCTCGGAGGCTCGTTGTGCCCAGCCGCTGCTCCCCTTCCCCCTCATGATATCCCCCCTTGTGGCGCTGAGCTCCTCGGCAGGTCCCGTCCCTGTCCCTCTGATGCTGAAACTCTTCTCAGCTGCAGTGACTTGTTATTACCCTGACTTCGGGCTCACCTGTCAAAATTACAGCTTTCCTCTGTGATAAACAATGCATAGGCTCCCCCCACCCCCAATACACTCAGCATGGTCAAGGTGCTCCTCGCTGAATAATTATAAATATCCAAGCAGAAACCCTGCAGCAAACTACCAGAACTGATACAGCCACCAGATTCATTTAAGTTTCCATGCCTCAGTGACTTTATTTTTTTAAAATGATTTTTATTTTTTTAGAAAAAAGTTGTGTTGCAATACATGTTCCCTGCTACACAGAACAGGGAAGTGGAAGCATTGGTTATTTAAAGCCCTGGTAGGATGCAGAGCAAGCAGATGAGCCAGGAAGTGCAGAGGTCTCCACCTGTGTTGCTGAGCCCCTGCTGTGCCTCTTTACAAAAAGGCAGGGTCAGCCTTGAAAAGCAAATTGAGAAGCTGGAGGCTGTTGGGAGTTTCTGCTTGTTTTGCTCTGCTCTGCAGCACAGGTAAGGCATGGGAATGCATCTGGGTGCAAGCACTTTTGGAAATGTTCACTGGTGTCGGGTTGGGCGGTGCAGCAATTTCAGCAGTCAGATTCATGCTGGTTTTGTCAAGGCGCACATAATTCTGAGCCTAATCTAAAGGAGCGAATCAAACCCAGAGCTATTTTCTTGATGCGAGCACAGTGTGAATGAGCAACCATTCCAGGACAGGAGAACTGAGGCCTGAGAGTACCTTTCTGATAGAGCATGGAATTATATCTGCAATAGAATGGGTAGAGTTGCTGCCCACAGGGCTCTGTGTAGTTCAGCAAAGTTTCATGGTCCATTGAGAAGTCTTGAGCTTCTCTGAATCAGGTGCCCAGAAAGAACCTGTTGGTTTTCCACATTCCTCTTTCTCCACCGAATATTAATAGCTACAACCCAAAATAAAGTGTGATTTCATATATGTGGCATGAAGTATATGCAAGTAGTCAAATGACACAGAGAAATCCACACAGAGCCATGAAAGGTCTTTGGCATGGGCATAGCCTCACCCCGCTCATAAACAAAAGAACAGCAGTGACTCAGTCCTGCCCCGGAGGAAACACATCCATCCGGTGTCACTGAGAAGATACTGCTCACATAACATATTTGTCACATATTTGTCTCTGTGGGACTGTTGGACACTTTCCTTACACCAAATTGTATGTATAGTATGTATGCTGACAAATCAGTTATGAAAAATGCAAGGTAGTTAATACCTAGTATTACACAGCAGTTTAGAGAAATAATTAAATCTTAATGTGGCTGGGAACTAAGCAAGGAACCCTATTTATTATCCCTATTTTACAGAAAAGAGGTAGAGAACTGAGATGATCTGTTTCCATAGCTTGGTTAGCATTAACTACAGCAGAAATGAGGAGTCAGCTCTCCTGGTATAATACACTTCCCAACTTTTTTTCCCCAAGGCTTTAATTAAAAATAATAGACAAGGACACTGCAGTCTTGGACAACCCAATTTTGTTAACTCCCCTATTGCATTCTTTTGTTACAGAAAGCATTTCTTGTTTTCAGAAATCAAATATTGATTTCAGCCAATTTGAAGTAATTTTATTCTACCCAGTCAAGAGTAGAGCAAAACCTGGTGGCAGTTCTACAGCTGGATGCGTAGTTGGGTTTAAAATGCAGGTAGACGTCTAATTTGTATGATTAAGAGATGTAATTTTTAAAATTATACGCTGAAAATTTTTTGCTCCTCTTATGAAGGAGTTTGCCTGCCAGGGAGGGGTTTGTAGGCTCACCATGCACAGGAAAAGGTGCAGATTGAAAATACCAGTTCTGTACCATGAAACAAGGTGTTTCTTTTCTGAGTCCTCTCCCCAGCAATTGCTCTTTTTTATAAGTTTATCCAGACCTAAGGAATTATTTTTGTCCTTCAGAGTATTACTGATTTACTCCAAAGACCGCTCTTTCAGGCAATTGCATCCATGAAGTAATTTGTGCACTACCAAACCCAAATATTCCTGCAGTGTCTACTTAATGCTTTAGATATTTAAGTGCATAAAAGATTTTGGAGGTATTTAAG